AAGAGTCAGGTAAGATCCTAGAAAAAGACCTGTGGGTTAGGGCCCACTCAAAAGAAACACCGTTGAATGATTTAAAAGAGAGAAAGCACCGGTTAAATAAAATGGCTTGAAAGAGATAACAACCTTGGAATAGGTTTGAACGTATCTTGAAGGAAAAGATGAGCCTTCCGAGATATCTTCAGCACTCCGGAATAATTGAATAGCGGGAAATGAATGAATATGATGAGCACCGGTATGATAAAACTTCTGAAACGAGGAAAGGATATGATCAACACCAAAAGCTTGAATTGAATCCACCGGAGAAGAAAAGAATGGAGAATGAAGAACAAGTAGAGCATCTTCATGAGAAACACCGGGTAAAAACATGAAGGAAAAAGAATGGAGAGACTTCCATCAATAAAATGGATAGTGATTAAGAAATATGAATCCTTCAAGGCAAACAAGGGTGGGAGGGTGGGAAAAAATAAAGACAACTTAGAACGGATGAAACAAACGCCGTTGAGAAGAACTAGTAATAGATCTTGCTGATATTGAAATGATCGGATCCACTTGAAGAGAAGCACACCGGTTGAAAAGGATTGACATGACAATCTCGATTATTATGAAGGATTAGTATTCACATAGGAGTATGAGAACACCACTTAGGAAAAGTATGGAATCAACATTTGACTTTGAAGCAACTCGAATACCACAACTCAAAACAAAACAAAGGATTGGCTTGCAGAATAAGCCGGAACAAACATATGATAAAGATTTCGTCCGAAGTTTTCGTGGTGGGGCCTACACGGGCTCGATCGTACATCACCATCATGTAAACGGTAGTGCACATGACATACAAAGCGCCCCCGAGTCGGCATAGCCAAGGACTCTTTAAGACACAACGAGACCACTGTAAAACCGACCGTGAATAGGTGGACCACTAGACGTTGAACCCCAATTTCATATCATACATCTGTCGGAAAGATATCCTAAGAGCTACTTGAATTCCCACTTATAAACTCCCGAAATTTTCCGGTTATGCAATCAGGTGTTGGGGATACAGGGGAAGCATAATATCTCACCCAAAACTAGCAAATCCTACATCCAGCTGTATCCATCCTTCAACACATAACCAAGAAACCTTCGGAAATCAACTACCTCAACCTTCGAAAAGCATCCGTTATGCAAGTTATGGCAATACTCCCGAACTCCCGCCCCAGTACTGGGTGGCGTCGAGGTTATCTCACCAACGAACTGCATAAAAGTGATTTTTGATGTTGGCGAAACTAAACTCAGGTATTCCAGAACTGCAACGATAAAATTATGACGACAACACCTCAGAGCTCAATTCCCCGGGACACTTCCACCAAACCCCTGACAGGAGGCACCAAGACAATGTTCTCGTCATAAAACCATCGGAACGATTCCAAGATACCCGCGTGATCCTAAATTTTTTTTAGTGAAATTTGAGAAGAGAAGAGTCAAAACTCTACGTCAGGATGCCTTACCAGAGCGATGAAGGGACTGGGGAGTAAAAAGAATTACTAAACTCTCTGATATGTAATTCCTAGATTACTCAAAACATTTTTATAGACTCAACTTGCCCGCTAATTCGATCAAGCAGTGGGGGGCTCCTAAGGTCAGGGAAGGCTCTGATTACCATCTTGTAACGCCCTTGATGCGGCTATATCTCCCACGTGTCGAAGCACGACTTAGAGGCATAATCGCATTGAAAGCAATGTCGCAAGTGAGGTAATCTTCACACAACCCATGTAATACATAAGGGAAAGAGATACATAGTTGGCTTACAATCGCGACTTCACACAGTTACATGATTAAGCATTACATCAACCAGATACAATCAAGGCCCGACTACGGAGCCAAAATAAAAGAAGACTACCCCAAATGCCACACAGATCCCCGGTCGACCCCAACTGGGCTCCACTACTGATCAACTAGAACGAAACAAAACAAAGGACAAGATCTTCATCGAGCTCCTCCTTGATCTTGGTTGCGTCATCTACACGGTTCAACGACACCTACAAGCTGGTTTAGGAAGTAACTGTGAGCCACGGGGACTCAGCAATCTCGCACCCTCGCGATCAAGACTATTTAAGCTTATGGGTAAGGTAAAAGGTATGAGGTGGAGCTGCAGCAAGCGACTAGCATATATGGTGGCTAACATACGCAAATGAGAGCGAGAAGAGAAGGCAAAGCACGATCGAGAAACTATGATCAAGAAGTGATCCTAGAACAACCTACGTCAAGCATAACTCCAACACCGTGTTCACTTCCCGGACTCCGCCGGAAAGATACCATCACGGTTACACACGCGGTTGATGTATTTTAATTAAGGTCAACTTCAGGTTTTCTACAACCGGACATTAACAAATTCCCATCTGCCCATAACCGCGGGCCCGGCTTTCGAAAGTTCAAATCCCTGCAGGGGTGTCCCAACTTAGCCCATCACAAGCTCTCACGGTCAACGAAGGATATTCCTTCTAGCGGGAAGACCCGATCATACTCGGAATCCCAGTTACAAGACATTTTGACAATGGTAAAACAAGACCAGCAAAGCCACCCAGATGTGCCGACAAATCCTGATAGGAGCTGCACATATCTCGTTCTCAGGGCACATCGGATGAGCAAGACGTCGGGTAAGCCAGCCCAGAGTTGCCCCTAGTAGCCTCGGGCATCGCTCAGTTTGGACCAACACTTAAAAAAGCACTGGCCCGGGGGGGTTAAAATAAGATGACCTTTGAGCTGGCCGACTCAAGGGAAAGAAAAAGGCTAGGTGGCAATTGGTAAAACCAATGTTGGGCCTTGCTGGAGGAGTTTTATTCAAGGCGAACTGTCAAGGGGTTCCCATTATGACCCAACCGCGTAAGGAACGCAAAATCCGGGAACATAACACCGATATGACGGAAACTAGGGCGGCAAGAGTGGAGCAAAACAACAGGCATAAGGCCGAGCCTTCCACCCTTTACCAAGTATATAGATGCATTAATTAAATAAGAGATATTGTGATATCCCAACAAGTAAACATGTTCCAACAAGGAACAACATCTCCACGTTCCAACAAGGAACAAACTTCAATCTTCACCTGCAACTAACAACGCTATAAGAGGGGTTGAGCAAAGCGATAACATAGTGAAACAACGGTTTGCTAGGAAAGGTGGGTTAGAGGCTTGGTTTAACAACATGGGAGGCATGATAAGCAAGTGGTAGGTATCGCAGCATAGGCATAGCAAAAGAGCGAGCAACTAGCAAGCAAAGATAGAAGTGATTTTGAGGGTATGGTCATCTTGCCTGAGATCCCGCAAGGAAGAAGAACGAGTCCATGAAGAATACAAATGGACGTAGTCGAACGGGTCCTCACAAACGCGACGTTACCGGATCCAACCCGAAGGAGCAACACCGAAAAGAAGCACACAACATCGTAAACAACCACCACATAAACATGGCATGATGCGCAAACAAGTATGATGCATGTCCGATTTAATGAAGCATGGCATGGCAAAGGGCACAAACAAAACTACAAGTTAAGTGGAGCTCAATATGCAACTAGTTGCATATTAACGGAACACCACATCAATTATTTAGTTCTCTCTCGTTTAGGTACCCAACAATATTAAATGTTGGTTAGCATGGCAAGAGGTGAAGCATAACAAAACTATACTATCTAAACAAATTAAATGGGGCCGGATATAACAAACAACAAATCTGGTAAATCCCCATATGCATTAGTAATTTGGTGCAACAACAATCTAAACATTTTAATTGTTGTTTTCATGATGCGGATGACATGAACAAGTTTATGCAATTTTTATTAAAAGTTTACAAGAGCATATTAAGAAGCATTTGTCATCGTGGCGGAAATGAAAAGGGGAGCCACAACAACGATAACGAAACGGTGCCACGACAACGTTCCGGTTCTGGTAACTCGATTGAGATCCCGGTGCAAAGAAAGTGCGACGGGAGCGGGACATGCGATAGAAGGTGGGGTGCTCCCAGTTACCGGGTTCCCTCATGACGGTGACAAGGTAAAAGAGGGCAACATGCACCGACAAATCGAGCACGGTGCAAGCACGAGCATCTCATACATCACAAGGCATTCGTTCACGGCGGTCGTCTCGGGGTCATACCTTCGAAGTGTGCGTTACCGGAGCGGTCCGAGTCAAGCGGTGTAGTTGTTCCAGATCGTCGTGGGAAGTAGTGGTACTCGGTGATGGTAGAGGAAGTAGACGTTCTCGGGGCGTTTGTAATGGAGGTAATCGTTCATGTTCGGGAAGCGGTAGAGGTACGGGTCTTCGACAACTGTCATCGTACATGTTCCGAGGTCGTCGGTAGAGGTTCTCGCGATTCCGGCGATGGTAGTGGAAGTAGATGTTCACGGTGACGGCGATAGAAGTAGTCGTCCTATCGTTCATCGGCGATCATCGGGGCGGTAGTGGTACAAGGTCGTCGTGGGAAGTAGTCGTACTCGGGAACTTGTTGGATCCACGGCGACGGTAGTGGAACTTCACGAATCCGTGGTCTCCGGGTGTAATGGTACTTGAAGAAAGCCGAAATGTCCTTGATCATCCAAAGTGGCAGAAATGAGATGTACATCCACGGAGTCTTCCGACTTGGGCTCCGGGTACAGGATTTGACGAGCTCGGGGAGACGATGGAGAAAGAAAACAGTGGAGCATCAATAGACACGAAGGCCACAGACATGACTTGGGGCTCCCCGAACCCATGGAAATGGCCGACAGCAGGAGACTGCTAGTGGAGGCAGGGCCACGCCGAGGTCGAAGGTGGCCGGGCGAGCTCGACAGAGGTCATCAGCTGTCGTACGAAGCAGGGGCAGCAAGGCACAGCAGCGCACTCGAAGCTTTAGGCCAACATGATGGCATCCATGGCCGGCGGCCATGCAGGTCGCGCGAGGCAAGGCGGGCGAGCAAAAGAGCAGCGAAGTGCCATGACTGAGGGAGTAGAAGGGAAGGATTGGGGAGCTGGGGGGGAGTAGCAAGACGCGCCATGGTGGTGGTTGCGAGCTCCTGCGCAGGGGGAAGGAGAGGACAGCCTGGTGGTGGTGCTGGAGGAACACGGCGCCGGCTTCGGGGAGCTCCCTCGGGCGCGGCTGGAGGACGGAGATACCAGAGACGCATCCAGGGAGGCGGGTGCTGCACGGAGGCTCGACGAGGGCCGGATCAATGCTCGGGGACGGGCGCGTCCATGGGCGGCGTCCTGCTGGTGGTCGGCGGCGCGGCGCCATGGCCGAGGCCGAGGTCAGGGCCACGAGAATCGGGTGTCGCCCTTGGAGGCGCTGGATCGATCAGGCACGGGAGCGAGAGGTTGGGGTATCGAGCAGTGAGATGGGGATCGGGCCAGCGGCGGCGGAAGGGAACGAGGAGGGGCTCGCTAGGTTTACGGGGGCGTGACTGGGCCTTGGGCCACTGGTGGGACGAGGCTGCTGGAGGCCCAACTGGCCGACTGGGCTGCACTGGGGTTTTCCTCTCTCCCTCATTCTCTCGTACCAGAGAAAGAAAGAAAAAAAGAAAGAAAGAAAGGAAAGGAAAATAAAAAGGGAAGAGAAGAGAAGGGACTTAGGCAAAGGGGTATTTTTTTCAGACTCACAAAACTGAGCTCGATCTAGGAAAATGAAAGTGGCATGATTGAAAGATTTAAATTCAAATACATTTGAATTTAATTCAAATGGTTTGAATAAACTCAAGGTTTTTTTAAGAGTCCAAAAATGTTGGGAAGACAAGAAGAGTCTCGATAAAAGGGAAACGAATTGTTGGCAAAGTTTGGAGGTGAAACTTGAAGCAGAAGACACTTGAGAGTTTAAATTGCAACTGTGTTTGCGGTTAATTCCAAACTAATGGAATATTTATAGTAGGTCTCTAAATACTGGGATGATATGTTATAAAGAGAACTCACCATGTGAATTCCCTCGGTTTAAATGGATCGAAGATCCATATGGTTTATTTAGTTGAGTTGTAAAAGATTTATGAGATGATGGCACGATGACATGATGCAATGCACATGATGCAACGAACCAAACAAAACACACGACGAAACCCGGAAACCCTGGAAGGCATCTGAAGCTCCGGACTTGGGGCGTCACACTCAATGTGATCTTAGATCACTAAAAGTAAAATGTAGAGTCTTGAGCTTGAGCTTTAGAGCTTGAGCCAATCTTTTTTCCTTAGCATTTTGAGGGGTCCACATTCCTAATACATGCCATGTCAATCATTGAGCTTTCCTGAAATATTTATCTTGAAATAGCATTATCTCAATGAGCTAAATGTTGTTAATAATTACCAAAACCACCCAGGGATAGTTGCACTTTCAACTATGTTCTAAGATTGATGTTGCTTTGAGTTTGCCATGCTTAATGCTTGTCACTTTGGGCCCAGGTGTCATGATTTCAGATCTAAACCGTTTATGTTTTCACCATTATATCCATGTTCTAGATTCGATCTTGCAAGTTATAGTCACCTACTACGTGTTATGATCCGGCAACCCCGGAGTGAAAATAGTCGAGACCACTCCCGGTGATGACCGTAGTTTGAGGAGTTCATGTATTCACCATGTGTTAATGCTTTGTTCCGGTTCTCCATTAAAAGGAGGCCTTAATATCCCTTAGTTTCCAATAGGACCCCACTGCCACGGGAGGGTAGGACAAAAGATGTCATGCAAGTTCTTTCCATAAGCACGTATGACTATTTACAGAATACATGCCTACATTATACTGATGAACTGGAGCTAGTGCCGTATCGCCCTAGGTTATAACCGTCTCATGATGAATATCATCCAACAAGTCACCGATCCAATGCCTATGAATTTTCTTATATTGTTCTTGCTAAGTTACTATTGCTATCGTTACTGTTGCACTTGTTACAAAACTACTGCTATCACGGTTATCGTTACCATTGCTACTGCTACTATTATCAAAACTATCATATTACTTTGCTACTGATCACGTTGCTGCAGATAATTAATCTCCAAGTGTGGTTGAATTGACAACTCAGCTGATAATACCTTCAAATATTCTTTGGCTCCCCTTGTGTCGAATCTATAAATTTGGGTTGAATACTCTACCCTCAAAAATGGTTGTGATCCCCTATACTTGTGGGTTATCACTGTCTCTTGATGAACAGTGATCGTTGTTGGGGGTTAGATGAACAGTTCCCGGTGGGGGTTGGATGAATAGGACACCGTGGTAGTAGAGCCCGTTGCCGCTGGATGAATAGGACCCCGATCGAGAGGAGGACGCCACACACCCGAGCCGATTGGGGGTGGATGAAAAGGACCCCGTGGAGGGCTGGTTGAACAGGACCCCGTGTGGAGGGCTGGTTGAACAGTAGTCGGTGGAGGCTAGACGAACAGGCCCCCATGGAGGGCTGGTTGAACATTAGTCGGTGGAGGCTGGAGGAACAGGAGCCCGTGGAGGAAGGAGGGAGATGCCGTGAATGAACAGTAGCAGGTGGAGGCTGGAGGAGGTTGACAGTGGATGAACAGTAGCCCGTGGAGCCCCGTTTTGTGGTACGCCACACCCCTCCCAATCAATAGGACCCCATATTGACTGTAGGAGGTCGAAGAGAAGTCTGTTTGCTTAGTTTTGCGCTACACCATACCCCTCCCGATGAACAGGATCCCGTTTCGACCGTAGGCGGTCGAACATAAGGCCGTTTCCTTCGTTCTGCAGTACGCCAGGCCTCGTTTTGGCCGTTCCATCCAAGCCGGTTGGCTCCCGATGAACAGGACGCATTCCATTGCCTCCCGATGAACACGCCGCAGTTTCTCTGTTCCAACCCGCCAGTTGGCTGCCGATGAACAGGACGCCGTCACTGCTCTCCGCTGCCTCTTCATGTACACAAGCCATGGCCGTATGTATGTGCGAGTGGGCGCTCGAGACCCTGCCCGTATGTACGTGTGTGGTCGTATTTACTTTCTTGCACCCTGGTTGTACGTACATGTACACAATATTTAATGGGACCGCATGACATGCTAAGTCCGCGCCTCTACTATGACACATGCCCTTCCTTACTCGGCCATGGTTCATCGCTGCAGCCTGCAGACAGACCGATCGACCAGTATGTACGAACATGTTCAAGACCAGATAGACAACCCTACATACGGTTCGACCGGGTGGGTCCCAGCTATCAGGGAGGTAAGGAGGCACTTCCTTGCGTGCGAAGATATAGCTGGTGAGTCCCATCTGTCAGGGGAGTGATGTCTTCTAGAACTATGTCCCCAAAGAAGAAGGGATGATGCAGCACACCAACGGTAGGTATTTCCCTCAGTGATGAGACTAAGGTTATCAAACCAGTAGGAGAACCAAGCAACACTACGTAAACATCACCTTCACACGAATAACAAATACTCGCAACCCGACGTGTAAAAGGGGTTGTCAATCCCTTTCGGGTAACTGCACTAGAAATTGGCAAACAGACGTGATAAAAATATGATAGATAGGATAAATAGATCTCGGATAAAATAAATTGCAGCAAGGTATTTTTGTATTTTTGGTATAATAGATCTGAAAATAAAAGGCAAATAAAAAATATCGCCAAGGCAAATATATTAAGGAAGAGACCCAGGGGTCGTAGTTTTTACTAGTGGCTTCTCTCGAGAAAAATAGCAAATGGTGGGTAAATGAATTACTGTTGGAGAATTGATAGAACTTCAAATAATCATGATGATATCCAGGCAATGATCATTATGTAGGCATCACGTCCAAGATTAGTAGACCGACTCCTCCTGCATCTACTACTATTACTCCACACATCGACCGCTATCCAGCATGCATCTAGTGTATTAAGTTCATGGAGAAACAAAGTAATACAATAAGAACGATGACATGATGTAGACAAGAGCTATTTATGTAGAAATAGACCCCATCTTGTTATCCTTAATGCCAACAATACATACGTGTCGCTTCCCCTTCTGTCACTAGGATCAAGAACCGTAAGATCGAACCCATCACAAAGCACCTCTTCCCATTGCAAGATAAATAGATCAAGTTGGCCAAACAAAATCCAAATATCGGAGAAGAAATATGAGGCTATAAGCAATCATGCATATAAGAGATTGAAGAAGACTCAAATAAATTTCATGGACAAAAAGAGATAGATCTGATCATAAACTCAAAGTTCATCGGATCCCAACAAACACACCGCAAAATAATTACATCATATGGATCTCCAAGTGACCATTGTATTGAGAATCAAACGAGAGAGAGGAAACCATATAGCTACTAACTACGGACCCGAAGGTCTACAAAAGACTACTCACACATCATTAGAGAGGCACTAATGGACATGATGAACCCCTTCGTGATGGTGTCTAGATTCAATCTGGTGGTTCTGGACTCTGCGGCAGTTGGAATTGATTTTTTTTCAACTCTCCTAGGGTTTCTGGAATATTGGGGTATTCATAGAGCAAAGAGGCGGTCCGGGGGGCACACGAGGTGGGCACAACCCACCAGGGCACGCCTGGGGATCCAGGCGCGCCCTGGTGGGTTGTGCTCCCCTCGGAGCACCCCCCCCCAGGCACTTCTCCGGCCCATTGGATGTCTTCTGGTCCAAAAAAATCCACAAAAACTTTCACTGCGTTTGTACTCCGTTTGATATTGATTACCTGCAATGTAAAAAACATGCAAAAAACAACAACTGGTACTTGGCACTATGTCAATAGGTTAGTACCAAAAAATGTTATAAAATGACTATAAAATGATTATAAAACATCCAAGATTGATAATATAACAGCATGGAACAATCAAAAATTTATAGATACGTTGGAGACGTATCCGCATCCCCAAGCTTAATTCCTGCTCGTCCTCGAGCAGGTAAATGATAAAAACTGAATTTTTGATGTGGAATGCTGCCTAAAATGTTGTCTCATATTCTTTTATTTATAGCATGGACATTTGGACTTTTATATGATTCAAAGCAATAGTCTAGTTTTGACATGAGACTTAAATACTCAAGTATATCAACAAGCAAACATGTATTTCAAAATATCAACACTAAAATAAGTTATCCCTAGCCCATCATGCTCAATCATTGATCCAGTCATGAAATACACTCGCACATTAACTACATCAAATGCTCAAGTACGATCATAGTACCCCTTAGTTGGTGCTTTATACGAGAAGATGGAGAATCAAATTAAAAAAATGCATAAATTAAAAGAAAGACCCTTCGCAGAGGGAAGTAGGGATTTGTAGAGGTGCCAGAGCCCAAATCGGAAATTGAGAGATAAAAACATTTTGAGAGGCATACTTTTCCCACCAATGAAAACGACTTAGAGTTCCCAACACTTTCCATCCTAGATATATCATAGGCGGTTCCCAAACGGAAAATAAAGTCTATTCCTTTTTCCACCATACTTTCACTTTCCATGGCTAACCATCTACGGGTGCCTTACATACCAACACTTTCCATGGAATTTATTATTTGACAACATAAAGTAAATTCATTTTTCATTTTAGGACTGTACATCCCTAATACCTTTGCCTTACTCTCGTGCAATGACAAGTGAATAAACACTCATCGTGAGAATAACACATCTAGCATGGAAAATATTAGCCACCCCTCACTGCCTCACGAGCTGTACGATCACACAAAAGAGAAATATATTTTGAATATTAGAGATGACACATACAAATTTGCTTAGAATGGCAAAAGAATACCGCATATAGGTATATATAGTGGACTCATATGGCAAAAATGGTTTAAAGGATTTTGGACACACAAGTAGTGATCGTACTTAGTGCAAAATGAAGGCTAGCAAAATATTGAGAAGCGACCAACCAAGAAACGGATAATCTCAT